GGCTGTCCAGGCCTACACGAGATGAGGCAGGATAAAGAGGGATAATCCCCCTCGATCCCAAATCATTGAGGCCAATTTCTAGCCATAGAATAATGGCGCGCGCGGCGCGTAGCCATAGAATAATGGCGAGTCTCCATGCCTGAAACCATAGAAAATTTAGTACTATATTTTCTATGCCTGAAACTCACAGAGTCACAGACTGTCATACTGACAACTTGTGTTTTTGTTTGGGTTAGAAAAATTGTTTAATCTTAATTATTTAAATATTTGATCTTCATAAAACGGTATAATGTTCAGCATAAGGCAAGTGGCTGTTAATGTCGTTAGGTATGTACATATCTAAATTTGTTGATATGATACTGATAAAAATTAAAAAGTATATAAATTTAATATCTTTCAAGGAATGGACGTTCCAAACATACTTTACCTGATCTACCTTATGATTATGCAGCTTTGGAACCCATCATTTCAAGAGATATTATGAACTTGCATCACAGTAAACATCATCAGACTTATGTAACTAATTTGAACGCAGCCGAAGAAAAATTGAAAGCTGCAGTTGAAAAAGGAGACGTAAGGTAAAATTTTGTTTAGAAGTAATCTATATACGTTTTTTTGGTATAATATTTTAGTGGTGAGATAGCACTTGCCCCAGCAATTAAATTCAATGGAGGTGGACATCTAAACCATTCAATTTTCTGGCAGAATTTAAGTCCAAAAAGTTCAGAACCAAGTACTGAACTATGCAAGGCTATTGAAACATCATTTGGAGGTATTGATAATTTAAAGAAACAGCTTGCAGCACAAACAATTGCTATACAAGGATCAGGATGGGGATGGTTGGGTTATGATAAGAGTTCCGGTAAGTAGGCAAGCACATATGTTGAAGTAATGTATGGGAATACACTAATAATATTCTTTATTTTTTGATAAATCTCATAATTAGAGCTCGACATTTATGTGCAAAATCAGTGGTTTATGCTAATATATATGTCATTGAAATAGTTCCTGTAGGTCTCCTACAGATATGTATCACTGGAAAGCAACATATTTTGGAAACAAATTTTCCACATCAACAAATATAATATCTGCTTGTTTAAAATGTTGACGTAGATCATGAACAGTATTTCTTTCATGCAAAATACTGTAAAAATATATAAAAAATTTTTGCAATTTATGCTCTAACAAAATCTATTAAATTTTGTTATCAACCATTTAAAGATATGAATCAAATAATGCTGAACCATGTTGCAATTGATTAATAAATAGCTTTACCAGAGCACAATAGTTGTCTGGTATAATATTTATATATTTCGGATTCGTATATCTCTCGACATTATCTGATAATAAGAGATTCACTGAAACTGATTTTGAGAATTACAAATTTAACAGCATAAAATTGTTATGTAATTTGTAAAAGAAACACGCTTTAACCAAGTCTCCATTTCCTAAATGTGAGTTGTGGTCTATATCTTCTATTGACAAATAAATTTTAGCTATTTACTAGATATTGTGGATGTAATTCAATGCTGGTCGGGGCTTTAGTCTACAAAGTAGTTGTTTACCAAAATATCATTATTTAAAAATAGGTTGCGGAAGTTTGGAAATATCCGAGTATGATTAATTAAATTATTTAATTTACGGTGGAGACTAAAAACTTTATATTTGATATTGTTATCTACAGCCTGATAATTATTCTAAATTCTCTCTGACACACGATCAAAGACATTAAACGTACAATTTATGCATACTAAATTAGGTTATACAACCCCATCTGCTAACCCATATTTACTGCAAAATTTTGCAAGTGCTTTGGCAACATTTTGCAAGTAACTATGGCATAATTTCTTTACAAGAATACACCCTAAAATATGTAATAATTTTTTAACAATTAAGATCGACCATATGTTACTGTTTTTTTTTTTACATAATAATGCATGTGATGATAATATAATTGGTGGGTTTGAGGTAATGGGTACTTATGTACATATTTCTGCCCAAATAATGGAATATTACATGAACATACAAATTGGATTGTATGAAAATACAGTAGCTGTAAGTCGATTTATTTTAACCATTTAACTTACTAATATGCCTTTTATACTAAGAGAAACTCCAGCTCAACAAAATCATTTCAAAAACACACTTTATGACTGCTTCATCACAGTAAGTAGGAAAAACATGTAGTAAATTTATTAATTTGGTAGGCATTGCTTGGACAACACTTTTTTAAATTTCTGTATGTAGCGAATTATACAGATCTCACATCTCTCTGCTTTATATACACAACAAAGTGTCGAGCTCTGCTCCCAATAAAAATGATAAATGTTTTGTTATTAGTATCATGCGGTTATATCTGTTTAAATATCGTTTTAATTTTGTAACATGATCTTTTAAAGGTTTGATAAAAATTGCCACCTGCGCTAATCAAGATCCTCTTCTTGCTACTACCGGCCTTGTACCTCTATTGGGTATTGATGTTTGGGAACACGCATATTACCTACAATATAAAAATGTTAGAGCTGATTATGTTAATGCCATATTCGATATTGTTAACTGGAAAGATGTTTCAGAAAGGTTTAAGAGTGCTTCCAGTTAATTTGATGTTCAATAGTAATGTGCGATATTTTTTTATTTTTAGATATGCTGTTTATGTTGATAAAGTGTCAAGTTTATGTTATTGAGGCAATATTAGTGATCTGAGAGTTCCATGTACTATTGTTATTGCTATTTTGTTCCATTATTTAGAATTTTGCAGTTTATTTTTCGTAATAAATGAATAAATGCTATTATTACATTAAGTTGTAGTTTCATTCTAAAAGAGAAAACTGGATTTAAAGGGACTTAATTTTAATTTGTGCCACTTCATGATCATTGAAAGTCAGAGGTTAAATGCAAATATACAGGGTGATTTCACTTTAAATACAGAAATAGCAAGACCAGATTCATTACCAAAAATCTTAAAACTATAACTAACTATAAACTTTTTTCTGCCATATCTTCATAATGCGCTGACGGAATTGAATGAAATTTACTACAGTGTATTCACTTAATTAGACCTTTTATTAAATATATTATTAACCTTGTGACTTTAACCAGTGGTGTGCTACTGGAACTGCCACCCCATTTTCCCATGAAAAAAATACGCCACTGGCGTTTTTTTGTAGAAATAATTAGGTAGGTAAATGAATGAAAAATGTTTCTATGATATGATATTTGGACTGGTTTTATTAAATTTTCCTAATAAGTTGAATTTTCCTAATAAATTAATCTATCTAGTGACGTGCTACTAAAGCATCCGCCAACTTTTCCCAAGAAAAGTATAACCACTGGTGGTATTTTTAGAAATAATTTTACTTCTGGAAAAAACAAACTAAATAAAATAACATTAGCAGATAGGTCGAGAAAGTAATTAAGTAACGAATCCTACAGTAATTGTTCAAAATAAAGGTTTTCCACATCGATACACTTTCAACATCTTCTAATAAGGCCCTTTATAGCCCAAGGACTAGCTTAAGGAATAAATGAACAAAGCTAGTTATAATAAAACGAGACTATACGTTTCCTACCCAAAGCATGGGACCTGGTGAAGGCATTTTGTGGGGAAGTGGAGTGTGCGAGATAATATGACTGTGCATACTTTGAACAGATCCAGATTAATATTTTTACACTTTTGACAAATATTCATTATTCAAGTTTGGAATTCAGAAAATAATATATTTTAATGTCTTGTTCATATTAAATAAAATTACAAAATAATTTAAAAATATTTATTGTCCTTTAAGTAATGTTAGTTTATTTAATATTTGTCTTTTAGTAGATTTCACTGAATTAAATATTTTAATTTCATGATTTATTCTTACACCAATACATGATACACAATTTTATTTGTCTGTACCTAGGGTGTACTGTTTTTATAGTTATTAAAAAAATATCTTGTTCTTTCTGTTTCTTAAATTGTCATTTTTCTTTTTTAAACGACGTTTATCTTCTGCGGATTGTTTTTTTTTTGTTTTTTGGAAATGAAGGAAAGCCGCCTAACTTCACATTTTAGTTTCTTCTTTCTTGGGGTATCATCACTAAAATGTTTATATAATCCTCTTTATACTTTTCATTATCCGTAATATTCAAAGTTACATCGAAGATGTACTACTTAGGTCAGAATATGATGACTGCGATGTGGTAGGTTGGCTGATAGGAGACGTAAAAGAATCTGAAGATTGGGACTGTTCATGTTCATAAAAAATTAGTGGAGATAATTCTATAAAATTATGTGTTGTGCATTAAAATGTTCACTAAGTATTGGTTGACTAAGTATTGGGAGAGAATGATTTTTAGCCATCGTAAAAATAAACACCAATTAATTGTAACAAAAAACTAACTGTAAATAGCCGGTTGATAATATGAGTCTATATATTTACAGCAGTTAATAACATGGGCACTAAAAAAACATGAAACCAACACTGGAAATAAGTGCATGGGAGACGGAGAATGCTGCGCGAAACTGTAGAAATACCATAAAATATTTTTATATTATTACTTACCTAAAGAATGAAATTTCAACACTATTATGATCAGATCTGCTATTACAATCGTCAACGATACACTTCCCCATGATTGCACAAATAAAAACAGTATTCTTAATAAAATAGCAACAATGTTAACACAACGAATGTCTAACAGCGATTGAGAGCGCGAGGCTGGCTGGGCTGAAGTTAGGCTGACGGTTGGCTTTGTCGGCTTGCCTCTATAATTCAGTCTATGTTGTCTATGATTTTAATAAATAAAGCTGGTAAGTTAGATTAGTATATTGTATAGTCCTTAAAACGTCAAACTGATGCACTATAAAAAAAGAGAGAGAATGGTTTTATAAAAGAGTTAATAAAACTACCCACTTTAAATGATATTTATTAAAAAACATTCATAGATGTATTTAACAAAACTAACAATGAACACAACAGGATACAATTATATCATGCAGATTCCACTAACATGTCTATATTATCCAGAAGCTGCTTATAAGCCGTCTCTGCCATGTTTCCTAACTGCCCTTCAGGAGAGTTTTCAGGTTCTTGTTTTAAGATCTGTACAGCCTCTCCTAAAACGTCTATTGCTTTTTTTAGATCATTCCTAAAGAATTCCTTTGTGATAACATCATTTAGGTATTGGTGTTTTGCTAAGACCATTAACGGACCATGGAGTTCATATAATGTGATTCCTATAAATAAAATAGTTCTCAGAAATTCAAGATTTGTAACATTGTTAACAATGAATATATTCAAAATTTGTCATAAACTGTTGAAATGTAAATAAAATACCTCTTATTCTGCTGCGTCCAGGTTCTATAACATTTAAAACTTCTAATAATTGGTTGCAAAGTTCTACTTTTCTTTCCAAAATTATGTCTGGGAGGTCTTCTAGAGTATACTCGTCTGATTTGCCGTAAAGTTGTGTTAAAGCACTTCGCAAAATGGACATGTACGAGTTCTTTGGATGTAGGACAGATCTGTATTTTCTGTAAATAGCTTCCCTTTTTTCAATGCCTGTAAAAATATAACGGAAAATGTGAAATTTCAGTTTTGAGAAGGAAATAATGTTTCGAAATTCTAACAAAAAGGATGGATATATTGAACTGTCCGTCTTTTAATGGTCAGTTGTTTTTTTTTGAGTGAGATTTTGGTTAGGTAAAACTAAAAATAATTCCAAAAAAAACGATTCTTTTCGCATGGTGGCGATATATCCACAAGCATATTAGACTGTACAGAATATGAGTATTAAATCTTGATTTCATCTAGAATCTTTTAATTTCCGTAAATTTAAAAAATACATGATTTTATCCTGGACTTTTTGACTAACTTTTTCTTTAGGATTACCAAAATTGCTCTTCTTTGTACTTAAAAATTTTAAATTTATCTGTTACTCGCAGCAGAACTAAAAATTGTATTTTTTTCAAATTGAAAAAAATTATTAAAAAAAGAATAAATGTTTTAAAGTACTGTCATGATTTTTCCACTGTTGTCATTTAAAATTCTTTAAGGGCCCCATATTCTTTAAATAGTGTTTTCCGCAAAGACAAATAATTTCAAACATTTAATAACTGAATAATCTAAAGCTTATCAAATAATAGGAATGTTATGTCATGCCATCTGGGTATTTTCAAAGACGCCGCAGTAAAACGAATAAACAGGTGCAAAAAACGATCAAACCATCAAGGTTTTAGGTACTGAAATCTACGAAAATACTAACTTTTTTATATATAATTCCACATGTAAATATTCTTATAACATTTACTTGCTTAGTCCTACATATAAAATTGTTTACTTTTATTTATAAGTACGTGAAAATAATTCTTAAAATGTGGGGTTAGAATAACAGCAAACGTATGTTTTACAAACGCTTTTTTTACTTATTATTTTATTTGAGTAAATTTAAATGGTAACAATGAATAAACAAAACATCAAGGATTTTATTTTTGTGCTTACTTTTGTTCTACACGTTTTATTTTTAAAGATTTCAGTACCTAAAAACGTCAGAAATTTCACTATTTCTAGGCCAGGAATATGGCCACCTTAAGGGGTTGTTTATCTATGGTAGTAACGCTAGTGACATGAATTTATAATAAATACCCTCCTAGCATGATTGCTAGGTAAAATTTACCTGTTTTCTCACATTTATGTGAGAAATTACTAGTTCTCAAAATAATCTAAATGGAAAATTTTCCTTAGCCCAGTACAGATTTGTATGTATTGTAGAATATTTGAAACATATTTGTTTAGATATTTGGCAGTATCACAATTTTTTGAAAGACAGAATGTTTGACACACTAATTATAAATTTGACTTCAATTACTTCATTATTTTGTGTTTTATAAGGTGATTTGCAATAAAAAAATAAATTTTGCAAAATTGGACATCACCGTGACAAATTTTTTTACAAAAGAACATAGTAGTCTTAAAAATAATCACACAAATGATTTGCTGGAGATGAAGCTACATCATATTTTACACCCAAATATTGGTCAAGGCAGCTTTTTTGGGGAATGCATAGAAGACGACCAAAGACGTGGAAGACTTTCAGACACAGCCAATACTGATTGCAGAAACATGGAAACCATGGTTTGAAAGTGTCTACTATTACTAAAGCATTAAATATATCTGAATTGAGTGTTTTGACAACTCTTCGTGATAAACTAGGCATGCTTAAACTTTCAGTAAAGTAGATTCTAAAATTGTTGACTCACAATCAAAACTGCTTTAAAATCATTTGAACTATTTAGATGCACTTTCTTCGTAAGATTGTAGATAGTAGATATATCCTCCAAAAAAGGCCCACACACAATCTACAGTTGGAAAACTCATGGCCATCTCTTTTGAAACCAAGGAGGAATTATACTTGTTGAATATGTCGAAGGGCACTACAATAACAACAGTTACTTATGATTAACAATATTATGTATGGTTATTGAACAATCCTGGTTTGTGTTATGAAAATGTTCTTCACAACAACGTGTGAATTTACAAAGTAGCTAAGCAACTCATCCTTCACTCCTTTAATTTCTCTGTGCTGGACCACCCGCTGTACAGTCTGGATTTGGTTTCATGCGACTTCTTTTTATTCAGAAATGCAAGAAGTACCAGTGGGGATGACAGGAGTAATGTTTTTTTTTTTTTATAGAATAATGACGTTGTAGGTCAGTTGGCACAAGAGCGTTGCATGTACGAAAATAAGATTATCAATAAAAATGTGTCTTTTGTGTTATTTTTGGGGAGAATACATTTAAGAAGACTACTTTTCTTGTGCCCTTGGCTGTCGTTCCTTTGATTTTTAACAAATTCTGATATTCCCACAATGCAAAATATATAATAAGGTCAAGTTTATAATGAGCAAAGCTATTGTAGTTTTTTCTGCTTTCTCTATGGACAATTTGCAGGGGCAGATTTATATTACAAAAAATACGATATAAAAATATTTCAAATAGAAAAAAATAATGATCAATTTACAATTACCTCCTGGTCCTGTAGTGTAATCCACTGCATCAATTTCTGCTTGGATTGCGGCAAATACTTTTCTTACAGCCACTGCGTTAGTTTTAAATTCACAGTGTGTACATTTCCATTCACATGTATCATCTAAAATACAACCATTTGTGGATTCATGTTTTCTAAAGGATAGCACATTTTCAGTGCTATATTTCCTAATAGATGTAATTTGTAGATAAATAATTTCCTTACCCAATGGATTAGTGGACATAATAATTCCGTTATCACATTTGTTACACTTCAAAGTACCACAATGTGTTCCCAGCTCAGTTTTGTCAGAACACCGTTCACATTTACAATCGAAAAATTTGCTTTCCCTCAGAAATTCTCTTCTCACCAAGGTAGGCCAAAGAGAATATGTATAACTGCTGTATAATTGGCCACCTTTTGGAATGCCTACAGCGGCTCTTACGATTACTCTGCAATAAATTATTAAATTTACCTCTCTAATTGCTTATTGAAATAGTGTTGAGTCATTGTTACAGAATATTTTACCTGTAATCGTTACTGTTACCATTTCCTTTAACATCAATAGCATGATGTATGTTTGATATGCAGTTGTGAGAAAGAATAGCTAATTTGGGAAATAAACACCTCACGGTGCTATAGCCCGAGGGATTTCTAGCCTCAAAAGCATTGATTTCCAAAATTCCACAAACGGAATGTATCAAATCTTCCGAAAACCTGTCTAATTTACAAGGTCCTCTCAAATATTCTACAATGTTATGTTGATTGAATTCCCAGATCGGTTTCTGTTTCCTGATATCATTATGGGATTCCATTAGTTGTATTTCTTCTTCCCATCTTTGTGGGTTTTTTTCTTTGATTAGTAAAACCCTAAAACATGAACATAGAAAAAAGTGGTGTTTGTGATATATACACTGAGCTCGTAAAGTTTGGAATAAATTCGATAAATCGTTATTGAAGGGTTTTGACAGCAAATCCTCGGACACGTCAACTTTAGTTTATAAAATGTCACTTTTTTCAGCCATCGACTTTTTTTTGTTTTGTGTGTTTTTGAGCTATGACGTCATCGGCAATTTTTTTAAATGGCACCCCATATTTTTTTCCACGGATTTCGATAGAGCACATTTTTCTGAGAACGAATATGTCAAAAACGTATGACCTTCAAAATGGAAGTTTTCGAGATATTCGGTTCCAAAGTTTCAAGAATGCATTATACAAGCGATGACAAAATACTAATCATTTATCAAGGAAGCGCTGGAAAAATTACAGTTTTGATAGTTGAAGTTTGTTCTCGCAAGTTTGTGTTTTAAACTGTCTATTATCTCGAAAACTTCCATCTTGAAGGTCGTACGTTTTTGACATAATATTCATGCTCCGTAACTGATCATAAAAATTTCGATTCTTTCCCTTTCACTCAAACGACGGACCATTTTCAAATAAAATGAATTCTGATAGAATAATGATTAATCAACTTAAAATAAAACACAAACTTGCGAGGACAAACTTCAACTATCAAAACTGTAATTTTTCCAGCGCTTCCTTGATAAATGATTAGTATTTTGTCATCGCTTGTATAATGCATTCTTGAAACTTTGGAACCGAATATCTCGAAAACTTCCATCTTGAAGGTCATACGTTTTTGACATATTCGTACTCAGAAAAATGTGCTCTATCGAAATCCGTGGAAAAAAATATGGGCTGCCATTTAAAAAAATTGCCGATGACGTCATACATCAAAAACAAACGAAACAAAATAAAAGTCGATGGCTGAAAAAAGTGACATTTTATAAACTAAAGTTGACGTGTCCGAGGATTTCCTGTCAAAACCCTTCAATAACGATTTTTCGAATTTATTCCAAACTTTACGAGCTCTG